CCGACACAACGCAATGGCCACTCAGCCTGAGCAAATAACTCTCCAACATCTCCTCACCGCGGACTGAGAGTTCCCCGACACTGCGGCCCTTGCCCGCCATCTCACACAAGTAGATGCCATCGTCATCCGCCCGGGCATCCCGCACAGTCAGCCGCCGTAGCAGGCCCTGCTCCTCCATCAGGTATTTGGGGCTGGGCTGCAGGTGCTTGTCTTCAAGATACCACACTGTGGGGATGGTCTCCAGAGGCACCTGACACTCCAGCACGGCATCCTGGCGCTCCAGCACTTCCACGTCCACCAAAGGCATCTGGAACCGCAGCCGAGGCTCTGTGAGTGAGAGACAGGAAAGGGCTGAGCGGGAGGGCGGGATAAAAGTCGAATAAAAGCAGGGCTATTGTTGGGCAGGAACGCACAGGAATGGCGTTCCGGCTGGCTCCCGAGTTGGCCAAGCCCAGCAGGAACTCATTAGCATAATAGGCCACACCCAACAGCAGGAACTCATTAGGATTGGCTACATTAGGGGGGTGTGGCCTAACATGCAAAGGAGTTCCTGCTACAAAAAAAGGCCCTGGGTTTTGACAACAAACAAGGTAAACAGAATAAGAAGCAAAAGGTGGGTGTGGCTGGATGACCACACTTCTGGTAGCATGGGGGTGTGGCCTAATATGCTAATGAGCTGTGCTGTCAGGGGTGTGACCTAATAGGCTAATGAGTTTCTGCTGTTGGGTGTGGCCTATTATGCTAATGAGTTCCTGCTGGGCTTTTTCTACAAAAAAAGCCCTGAATAAAATGAATAAATAACCATCACCAAATGCCCAGGGAACGATGTTGTCCTGCTCCTGAGAAAGAGAGCCAGAGTGCTGGAATCCAGCCAAATGCCACCAGGGTTCCCTCTAAGCTGAGTTAGTGTGAGCTAGCTCACAGTTTTTTTACCCTCCAGCTCACACATTTTTGTCTTAGCTCAGGAAGGAGGGCTCCAGAGCAAACTGATTTATACAGTGGCCAAATTACTTGCTCACAACTTGAATGCCAGTAGCTCACAAAGTAGAATTTTTGCTCACAAGACTCCACAGCTTAGAGGGAACATTGAATGCCCCCCCCCCCGTCTGCCGGACTCCTGCTCCTTGGTCATTTATCGCCGCTTTCCAGCCTCAGCCTTCCTCCTGTCGTTTCCTGCAGTTCAGCTTCCCTCGACAGTCAACCTCACTAGTTTCCACGGGGCTCTTCTTAGCCTGGGAAGGCTATCTGTTGAACACCCCATCTAGTTTTTTCTGCTTCACATACTGTCCATATGTACAGCAAAGCTCACTTTAACCCATTCTGAGAAAGTGTGAGGCCCTATGGCCCTTTGCCGTAGCATGGAACTTAATCAACAAGGAATCTCATCATTTATCGTGCCAATTTGAACAAATATTAGCAGTCTCACCCACCATCTTTGTAGAGTATTTTGTCACCAAATTAAGAAAGGCGTGATGGCTGTAAGGGCTTTAACACAACTTTCAAAGTTGACCTGAGGAAATTAAGGGAGGTGTGTTCAACTGGTGCTTGCTCCTACTTTATCTGTCTTTGGGGAGGCAGAAGAAGGGCTCGTCCTGATCCTTCTCCCAAGGGTTACTCTGAGAGACAGCAGAGTGCTAAATGAGCTGCTTGTGATATCTTTAGCGCTCTTCGAGGTCCAGTGCAAGGGACACCCACCACCACACAATATCCCAAGGGGACAGAGATGATGGTGCAGGAATCAACAATAGCAAACAACCCCGGCAATAAGCAGGGATCCCAGTTCAGTTTGGTGATTTAAGTTCTAAAAAAAACCCACCAGATTCATTTCAGTCTGAAAACAAGAGGTCAAGACCCAGAAACCCTTCCCTTTAATCCCTGGTGTCATGGGGACCCTCTGAAGTTTCTTGTTGGAAAGAGAAATGCACCCTCCACCCAATCAGGGCACTCCAGCTCTTATTTGCATGGGTCCAACGCTGAGAGCTGGAAGTGAGAACAGGTCTGGCATAAATTAAACCCTAGGTAAGCCTCTGTTCGGAGCTCCGGTGGCTCAAGTGGTTAAGACGCTGAGCTGCAGGCTGTGGGAAGGTCGGTAGTTCAGCAGTTCGAGACCTGAGTGTGCTGCATGACGGAGTGAGCTCCCGTCTCTAGTTCCAGCTCCTGCCAACCTAGCAGTTCGAAAGCAAGGAATTGCAAGTAGATAAATAGGCACCACTTCGGTGGGAAGGGAACAGCCTTCCGTGCGCCTTGGTGTTTAGTCATGCCACCGACGTGACCACGGAAACGTCATCGGACAGCGCTGGCTCTTCGGCTTTGAAACGGAGATGAGCACCGCAACCCTAGAGTCGGATTCGACTGGCTTTCGAGCAAGGGAACCTTTACCTTTACTAAGCCTCTGTTCATATAATTAACTTCTTCCAAAGTAATCATCATATTTAAAAGAGGTAGCACTGTAGAAATAAGTGTGAGGTCCAGATCAGAAATACTTGTGAGGTCCAAAACAAACATTTTAGAGAGAAAACTAG